GGAGTCGGCCTTCTTCACGCAGCTGCGCCCTGGGCCGGCATGTCCGCCGAGCGGTCCGCCCCCCCGCGCCCCCCAGATCCCATCCTTGCTCAGTCACTGCCCCTCAGGCCCCATCGCTCTGCGCTTGAAGTTTTTGGGACCTTTTTGCCCCAAGGTGCATTGCTTGACTCTGGCATGCCCTGAATGGCATTTGCTGCATTGGTGCGCCATCCCCCAGCTTGAGGGGGGCCCTTTGGTGCTCCCCACACCCCCTTTTGCTTTCAACTGCCCTAGAAGGTTTGGTGCCATCGCAGACTTGGCCTGCTCACTGCTTGCTCCCAGTTGTAGGTCAAGTAGCATCGGTCCTCATCCCGGACCAAGGAGGGAGCGTCCAGAGCCCCTGGCCAGATCTGGCAGCCTGGGCGCTCCGCTTTGGGGTCAGTGCACCCGTCTGGAACTTGAGGGGCTGCCCTCAGGCAAGGGCTGCCGTGGGGTGGGTGCCCATCCGTGAAGTGGCCCCCATGGCGGGCGTGGCTGGTCAGGGAACGCTCGTTTCTCGGAAGGCGAACTGGCAAGACTCAAAGGAAGCCAACTCGCCCAAGAGTCCCAGTCCAAGGAAGAGGCGAGGTCTTGGCTCCAAACCCCAAGCCTTGCTGTTCGACCAGAGCAGAAATGGCACTGGAAGGAAGCCGTTCCCTTCAGAGCAGGCCACCCTCCCAGTTACACAGTGGCACCTCGGCTCACAAACCAATCCATCCCGGGACTCTGGTCATGAGCCAAACTGGTCGTGAGCCAAGTCAAATTTCCTCATGAGGTTCAGTGTAAATAAGGTTAATCTGTTCTGCAACTATTTTTTAATCAAAAAACGTGAAGCAAAGTGACAAAGAACAACCAAGATCGTGGCCAATCCCCCCCTCCCAGCGGTTGTGCGTGGGGTGGGGGGAGACGGGCACAATCCTGGGCGCACTGGGGGGAGGCGGGCACGCTCGGGCAGGGAACACGGGCACAGTCGCGGCCATCTCCCCCCCAGCACGGACGCGGCCATGCAGGGAAGGGGGGCGCGCTCGTGACCGGATGCAGAGTTCGTGACCCGCGGCAACATTTTTATGGAATTTCTGTTCGCGACCCAATTTGGTGGTGAACTGAGGCATTCGTGAGCTGAGGTACCACTGTATATAAAATCTCAAATTGGAAAACAGAAATCCGGAGGGGGTTGGCGTTTGGCCTTCGCCAGCGTGTTGCCGTCCACAGCGCCACGGCCTGGCGTGCTCCCACCGCAGGATCGGGATTGCCCAGCGTGATGTGGGGCGCCCTGTGGAAATGCGAGCCATTCCCAGCGAAGGCTGATACGGTGCTGCAGGGCCGGCGTGCCCTCGTTAAGCCATGGTTCCCCACGGCTCGGTTGAGGCCTCGGGCCGAGCCACGGTTTGCGTGACCCGTGCTCAGAGCCCAGAACTCGCAGCCCGAAACTGCAGTGGGCCAAGGAGGATTAAGAGCTGCACGCCTGCCTCCACTTTCCCTGCACCTGGTAGCGGGCGAGGGGGGATTGCATAAAAGTGGCGGTTTTGGCACCAGTCAGATCTCCTGGGGAGAACTTTCCACAAAACGGTCGCTTAGCATGAGAGCTTGTGGGGCTGCTCAGGTGTAACTCTGGCGCTGGGTGGCGCTCCGTGGGGTTAATTGTGCTTCCCGTTTCGAACAAGGAGCTATGAATGTTGCCCCGAAGGAAAGACTTGGATCGGCCGTGGGCATGGCTGCACTGTGTCCCGGGGCCCTTTGAATGCTGCTCAGATGGGGGCTGGGAGAGCTGGCTTGACAGAGGATAACGGGGGTGCTCACCTGGAGCCCCACGGCAAGGTGGCGGGGGGCTTTTGCCACAGCTGCCAAGGGGTTTGCGCGCCTCCTACCCCTAACCCCGTGGGAACAATTTTCTGGCCCGGACAATAGAAGAACCCTTTATACTTGTGTTTATTTATACTTCTATCCCACGTTGTTTCCCTTCAAGGGACTCAAGGCAGCTTACACAAAGAGCAAGCCCTAAGACACGCTGTGGCTTATTGGGGTGACCCACTGCAGATACACAAACCACCCCAGGAAAATCAGACCAGATTCACCCATCGTGACAACCTGTGCTGGGGCGGCAACCCTGAACGGGTCGTTGTGTCACAGCCCCAGACGGCGAGGGTGTGACCTGGCCTAATGTGAATGCCGCAGCCGTTAAACTGGGCCGTTCAGCTCTCCCTTCTTTGGGACCTCCTGGATTTGTTTGCTGCTGGACCCGTGGGCGCCACCCATGGGGGCCACCTTGGAGAATGGGAACTGCGCTTTATCAGCATTTTTACCCATGAAAAATGGGCCAAAATCCAAGGCGATAATGCAGCGGTGGCCCTGTGAGCTGGGCCACTGCCCCATTCTATAGGCAGGAGGACTTTTGGCCAGGAAATCCGGGGGGAACGTCCGCACACTCCCTCTTTCATTTCCTTGCAGATGAAGAAGCTGCTGAAGGAAACAGAGAAGCTTTCCAGTGAAGTCCTCAACCTGCGCAGTGAACGGGCCCGCCTTCTGCTGCAGAACGAGGCGAGTATTTGGGGGAACACTGGGTTGCTTAGGAGACCGCGCTTTAGAGCTTCCCAAAGTGCGGAAGGCCATGCTCCTCGGCACCAGAACGGGAAATCCATAATTCGCACGCTTTTCAGAACAGATGCACGAGTTCCCCCGCTCAGGCTGGACATAATAGCCTGCCTAATCAGTGGCATCTCCAGGCAGTATGTCATTTCTGTCTGCGCATAGAGATGGCGGGAACCTTTGGGGGAGCCCCTTTGGCACGGATGTTGCAGCTGCTGGGGATTTCATGGCGATCCCGTGCATGCCCAGCTTAGAGTGAAGGACTTCCCTGCATCGTTTTGACCTGCCGCTTTTCGGGGGCTTCTGCTTCCAGACACTTTGCAGGATCAAGACTGGTTCCTTTACACATTTCCACCGTTTTTCCTTCTGCTTTCCATGACACAACCGCAAGGCGGTGGTGTGGCAAAGGGAAATTGCAAAAATACACAACCATTTTGCAGTGCTTTCTAGCAGCCTTTCCCAACCTGCTGGCCTTCTGAGGCATTTGGACTACAACTCCCAGAATCCCCATCCAGCAGGGCCATTGACTGGGAATTCTGAGTGTTGCAGTCCAAACGCGTCTGCAAGGCACAAGGCTAGGGAAAGCTGCTTTATAGCATGATAACAGCTCATCATCCTTATTCTAAAGAAAAGATAGTGGGAACCGTCAGAACGACTGTGAGAAGCTGCTGCAAATGATTGTGGTGAGGAATCCTGAACGTGCAACAAATGCCTTGTGTGTTTAAACGCCTTCCAGCACACGTGCCATGGCAAGAGAGGAGTGCTTCACACTGCTTGGCCCTTGGTGTGAGTCCTTGTGTAATGCACACACAAGTTTCCAGTGGAAGCCATGTGCGAGTCACCACAGTATCCTGTTCACTGTATGCATATGAGAAATAAGTTTGCAGCTGCGTTTTCAGCATTGTGCTTAAAATTTTTCATAAACCTTATGCAACAAAGCTGCACGGGAGAAAGAGGGAAATGGGGGTTTTGGAGAAGCGAACAAGTAAATACAGGAGTGTCCTTCCTTGCCAAACGCAACACATCTCAGTGCCAAACTGACAATAGTTTGCAGATATTTCTCTTGTTTCGTGATTGAGAAGTGAGAAGTGAGCATGTCGTGAGCGGAGCCGGCTGGTGCCGGAGGTCAGACTAGATGGCCCGGGAGACCCCTTCTGACTCGCTCTGTTTCTATGTTTCTAAGTGGTATTCCTCATAGGGATGGACTGGCTCCTCGGGCCACCAGTTGCTGGACCATCAAACACACAAACTTGGTTCAGACAACCATACTCAAAGGTTAGATGTGGCGTGCTGTTGAACCATGAGTTGTTATTGTCTTGTCTGAACCCAGGTGCACAAACAAGCCATGGAGAGCAACCTACAGTTCACAGCCCAACCGCAAGCCCTAGGTTTCCTTGATGGGGTGTTCATGGTTAGCAAACCATGGCTTGTTAGTCCAACAGACAACACACTCCATGATTCAACAATGCCCAGTTCAGAAACCATACTCAACCCCTGGGTGTGAGATGCCATGTGGTCTTAAGCCAGTCCTCTTAACTGGTGACTTACTTAACCCAATAGCTGCCATCGTTACTTCTGCAAACTTTACAGCCGAATGCGGTAAGTGACTGAGGGGTGGATCAAACACCATTTTCTTCACGTGTGGAAATCTTCAGCAAAGGGTCTAAAACTAGCTGCCGCCTTCTGTTTTGACCTTCCATTGCTGATCGGGGCTGAAGTGCCATTTGAGTCTGGGAACCTGCAGTTCAAAGAACTTCTTTCTTACAACCGCCTTGCTATGAAAAGAGAAACGTTTTCCTTGTCCAGGAAGGTAAACCCATCCCAGATGAGCCGGCCGAGGCCCTGCAGAAAACGGGCATTCTGCCCGCTCGTGTGTCTTTTTCGGTGTGGGAGGGACAGCTCCCCGTAGGTGATGCAGAGCCTTTGTGGGCTCTGTCCGCTAATTTCCTCAATATTTTTCAGGTCGTGCAGAAGAACCATCAGGAGATCGTGGCCATCTATAGAACCCACCTGCTCAACGCGGCCCAGGTGCGAACCAGAGCCATAATATTTCTCCCCAAGGATTAGCTCCTCCTTCCCCCCAGAAACAAATTGCAATGGCTTGGTGTCTGGGTGAGCAGTCGGTTGTTCTCGTCATCCCCCCCACCCTCCCCATGCCGAGCCCCATGCCGTGGGTCTTCCCTTCAGGGGTGCTGAACCTCCAGGGGCGGCGCTCCCTCTTAGAGAAGCTCTCGGGGGCTGGACTCCGGTGGCGGACGGAAACAAAAGCTCGGCCTCCTTGGGGGCCGCAGAGCCGGAGCCGCGGGCCTCAAGCGAGCTGTGTAGTCCGCAGCCCAGCTGAACACCCCTGCTGTAAACGGGGATCGGGAAACAAGCCAGAAGTACCGATGTGCCCACGGCACGATCATGGTCTGCTCCCAAATGCCAGCCAGGCTTGCCTGTCTGAATGCTTCCCAGCTGGGAAAAACCCTGCACCGAGAAGACTAGCCGGAAGGGGATAAGGCTGGAAATGCACCTCCTTTCCTGCTGCTTGTGGTTATTCTTGCTATTTATTGATTTGAATTTATCTCTTACATGCCTCCTACAAGAAATGCCTGTGGGTGTTTTACAATAGGCAGAAAGGATAGAAACACAACCAAAAGTTAATATAAAACCAATATACATGGCAACGGTGGAGTGTAACCTTGTAGGACTTGGATAATAAAACAGAAACACAGAAACAGGGCGAGTCAGAAGGGGCCTCCCGGGCCATCCATCCAGTCTGACCCCCGGCTCCAGCCGGCTCTGCTCACGACATGCCCACCATGTGGATGTCCAGCCTATCCTTGAACACCCTCACCAGTGGGGCCTGAACATGGAAGCCCATTCCACACCCTCGGGGTCCTGACTGTCAGAAGCATGTAGCAATACTGAAAAATAACTTAAGAGATTCTGAATATTTTTGAAGCCTAGTGAACAGCAAGTCTGAACCTGTGCGAGGGCCAGTAGAGGGGCCACTACCAAAAGGACCCCTCTGCTGTTGCGAGTCTCTGAGCTGGAGAAGCGCAGCTGTGCATTACCCTGACCCGGAGGCAGGTCCATACAGGAGGAGGCACACGCCAGCGATCGAGAGCCCAAGCCTGTGGCACTGCGTGCATTAAAAGCAGCGCTTGGAACCCGGTCTGCACACTGCAGGGGTAGCTGTTCTTAAGACAGGGGAGTCTGCAGGGGCACGCCCTCTCCCCAGCAGTCGGAGGCGGCACAGTCCAGGAATACAGAATCTGTCTCCTCGGGTAGCCCAGACATTTTCCCTGCCGCAAAATATTGCCCGGAAGCGCAACCTGGCTTTTTGCAAAATGTCTTTGGTCCAGGGCTTCATGGACGAAGAGGTCCACGCCATGCTGCTCCGGATCCTGCAGACCAATGACAGCTGACCAGTAAGTCTCCCAGGGCCCCACAGCCGAGCTTTTCCTTCGCATGGCTCCCACGCCCATCCGAAGGCCCGCCGCAGCCCCCGTCCCTCGCAGCGTGGCTCTCAGCCCCGTGCATCCTTCTCATCCGCAACAGAGCCGACGTCCTGCAGCTTCGTGCTCTGCCCCAGCACCTTTTGGATGCAGACCCCACCCCTGGGATATGCAGACACCCTCCCCGTGCGGCACGCCTGGACGGTGCCCACGTCGCTGTCGGCCGCTGCAGGCGAGGCGTGGGAGGGCTCCTCAGAGCCTGGGGGGTGCGGGGCGACAGAGCGGCACAGTGCGCCCCCCTGCACTTCGCTGCCCGATGTGGCGCCCTCGCCCCGCTCCCCAGGAGGGCCGGACCAGCAGAGAGCGTCTGCCCAGCGTTCCCACGTGGCCGGAGGTTGCAGGGCTGGCGGAAACCCCTTGGTGAGGAGCGTGGCCGCTTGCAGGTGTGCGAGGGGCACTGGGGGGAGGCGCACGGCTGCGAGCAGGGGTGCGGAGCCCGCAGAAGCGGCCACACGGCCTTGCCACTCCCCGAGGACGTCCCTCCTCGCCCTGCTTCCGAAGCTCCGCTTTCTCTCTTTTTGCGGGAGGGCGACAGATTCGGACCAGCCAAAACTGCGAACACGGGGGTCTCGCAAAGCCGCCTGCCATAGGAGGTCCTTAATGTGAAGCTGTCTGTGCACCAGTGAGTGGACAGCTATGCAAAAACTGAGGGGGGGCATTTTGCAGGACAAAACAAACGTTTATTGAATGAGGCATAAGACCATTTCAAAATGAACCACATAAAGTAAAGGTAAAATTCCACATAAACCATTCTAAATACCCAAAGAACATGCTCAGAGCACTAGGATAGAGAACACCCTCTGAGCATGTACAAAGTGCATTTCCTTCCACTGCTGAGCAATGAGATCAAAATATTGATTTTATTTTACAGAATTTTGACCCCACTCTTCAGCCAAAAAAGGGTCCTAGAGCAGTTTACAAAGCTTAATACTCACATAGTCCCTGCCCTCAGGTTTACAATTTAGAAGATACCTCACAGAGGAAAGGGGATCGGAAGGGAGGAGAAAAGAAGCCAAAGTTGAGCACCGTGTCTTAGCTCCCAAGTTCACATCACCTGGGTTTATGGATCAATACTTCCAAACTGACAATCGGGGCCTCCAGGGAGGCACTGGCTGCCCAAAATGGGTGTCAGGAGGTATATGGAAAGTTATTTTCTCATTCCAGGTTTCAGCCCTGTTCGAATGTTAACACTAGAAGGAGTCTGGTGCACACCTTTGTCTTTCCGGCATCACAGAACCGGCTCACACTCTTTATTGCCAGCATTCCTCAGGGGAAGCATGGATTTCTGGACTCTCCCGAAGCAGACGACCAACAGCAAGGGAAGCGTCCTGAGATGCTGCACACACGCTCAGCGGCTCGCACCCGTTTGCATGCCCTTTCCTTAAACCCGCTTGGCTCCTTTTGCAAGAACTGGGAATTTTGCCCTGGGTGGCAATCAGGAGGATATTGGGGTGTCACAGAGTGAGTCCAACCCCCTCCTTGCTTAGGGTTAAACGAACTTCTTGCAGAGCGACTAGGGCTGCAGGACCCGGATAAGACCCTTCCGGGGCTGAGAGTCCCCATCAGCCATGAATCAACATGAGGCCCACAGCAGCAGGAAACAGTTCTCCTCCAGCCCCGGATGCCCTTCCTTCTGCCTTAAAAGTGCCCCAGCTGCCCAGCTGCTCCCGCTGCCTTTTTCCTTTGTATGTTCCCCGCTCTGTCAGGAGTGCGATGTTCTTGCAACGGTGACGTGATGGCTGTGAAAGTTTGCGCAGCAAATCTCTCAAGCTGTGGGCCTAAACTCTTGGAGGGCTCCCAAAGGCCATCTAGTCTGATCTCTGCAAGCGCAGGTGGTTGAATCTGGATTGGATTGCTGAGAACACCTCCTTTTAACCCCAAAAGGGATTCTGTTGCAGTTTTTCCAACCTTTTGTGTGTGTGTGTAGCTTTTAAAAGACGCCTCACCCACCTTGAGACCTGTGCAAAGGGTGGGATAAAGCCCTTATTTGGTGTTTGTTTCCTTTCCCACTCGGCACATGGCCCAAGAGAGGCAGCGCCCGGTGACCCAGGACATTGCCCACAGAAGCACTGTTGTCAAGGCAGGGCGCCCTGGCGGAGTCTGGCCGGACCCAACCCAGGAAGCCCGTGACCTTCCAACAGTGGCCAGCCAGGTTGCCTGGGCGCCCACTGCTGCCTTGCGCCTGTTACAGGTACACTGCCTCTGAACATGGAGGCTTCACATAGCAGTCACAGCTAGCAGCCAGGAATAGACCTCTGTTCGTCCATGGATGTGTTCCACAAGCGTGCAATCAAAGCCAGACACAGCATACAAGGAAAGAGGGATGGGGAGAGAAGAGGGAAAATTGTGCAGACTTTCAGTAGGGCTGCTGGACCGACTCTGCTTCCCCTCTGATATGCGGGGGTGGGGGCGGGAAGGCGAACTGGAGCAATGCCCAGGGCTGCGCCACCTCCCTCGTCCCATCCTCCCCGCACAATCTGGGTGCGGGTTCGTTGCACCCTGAGACCAGGTAGCTGCCCGAGTCACCGAAGCTGGGCCTGCTGCCGCCGCACCAAGGCTGTGCCCAGCGGAGAACTGGCAGCTCCGACTCCCCTTCGGGTCCACTCCGGAGCGCGTCTGGGCCGGGACGGATGCGGACCCTGTGCACAAGATGTTCTGGGCGTCTCCCCGGCCGGTTCCTTCACACGGAAGTCCCCTCTGTGCTGCGGGGGACCGGCGTCTCACTCAGTTGCAGCGCTGCGGAAGTGAAGGTGGGCGGTGGGCGCAGCGACATGAGAGCAGGCGGCTCTTCCCCCTCCGCATCGAAGTGCGATTCTGGCAGAGTGAACTGCCTCGAGCGTTGGCTGTACGCCGGGTTTCGACTCCCCCCTTTGGCCCCGACAGAACCCCAGAGGCTTCTTCTTCCCGCCGGAGCAGAGCAGGAGTGGCCGTCCCGCCTGCCGCCACAAGAGGCGAAAACTCTCCGCAGAGAAAAGGTGGCACAGGGGGATGTGTGCCCTGCCAGCCCCGTTTAGGGAACTGGGGAAAATGGCCCGTCCCCGGAGCTGATGGCCTCCCCAGGGCCGTTACGGGCTGCACGAGGGATGCTCCGTGGCCGTGCCAGTCGCGAGCCCTGACGCCGCAAAAGTGGCCCGGGCAGGTGGCCGAACACAGCTGCTCTCCACCGCCCGTCAGAGCAGGATAAATCCCGCGGCGTTCCCTGGCCCCACATGCCTGCTGTGCTTCGGCTTTCCTCAGGGCCGGGCTCGTCTTGTGAAGCATGGGAAAGGCTCGCCTCTCCCGGAGTCCGGGTCTCCTGGTCACGGCGGTGCCTGCACCCTGCCCCACGGCCTCCTCTCAGCCACACAGGCTCCCCTGCTAGCTGGGGGTCAACCCCTGCCTCTGGCTCCAGCCCTGCCCTGCCCTGCCCGGGCAACTCAGCTCTTCGTGCTGGCTGTGGCCCAGTCCCAGTCCCTTCCCTTCCCACGCCACCGCGGCAACGCAGGTCTTCCCACTGGCTGCGATTCAGCCCCTGCACTTTTCCCGAAACTTGATGCCTCGGGCTCCCGCCGTGCCTCATTCTGCCCCGTCCTGCCCTGATGGGCTGCGTTGCCACGTCACATGCCACGCTCCTTCCCACGGTGTGTCAGGCCACTCCTCGCTGTCTCGCTTTGCTTCCCGGCCACCCAGCCTCACCTGCCACAGCCCCACGGCCCTGGCGCCTGCCCCGCGAGCCAGCCCCAGGGCCCTGCTCCTTGCCTTTCCCAGACAGGCACTCCGGTTCCCATCTTGAGCCTCTTCCTCAACCTAGCGCTGACCCGACAGCCAGTCCCTGACCAGGACTCGGACTTTGCCTCGCCTCTGATGGGCTGCCGGGTCTCGGCGCCTCTGGCTTCACACCTGTGGCCCATGTCTGGATGGTGACAGGCCTGGGGCTGGACCGGCTCCTCCGCCACCCTCTGAGACACTTCTTCCCTGCCTGCGCCGGTCACCCCGCAACCCAACCCCTGAACATTGGGTGGCTCCCCAACCTGCCCCGGTATTTTCCTCCCTGTGAAAGACTGAAATGCAGATCATCAGCACAGGTGGAAAGAGCACTGAGATAAAAGAGGCGGGTATTTTAGGCCTCCCCATCTCACCTGTGGCCACACCTTTCTGTGTCTGAAGCTTTGCCCACATCTGGAGTGCGACTGAAGAACTCCGAATTCGGCCTTGGGGTGAAAGGCATTTCTCACAGGAGGCCTTCCAGGGAACATGGCCGAGCATTTCTGGCCTGTCTTTTGCATGCTCCAAATTGTGCGTGCAAAGGCAAGACTGCGCCAAGCGCTGTGCAGAACCTGGACGGGGCCCCTGCCGCAACGGGTGGACGAGGTCGGACCCGATGGCCTCGTTCTGCAAGGTTCGTTCGTGTTACTGCACTGCGGTACATGACCTGCCTTCCTTCTTGTGCGGAATCCGATGTGCCGGACAGAGCTCCGTTCTGTCCTCACAACAGCCCTGCAAGGAAGGCGAGGCTGAGAGGGAGATATTGGCTCAAAGTCACGCAGGGCGCTTCCTGGCTGATGGGGGACTCGAACCCGGATCTCCCAGAACCACTGTATCGCACCGTCTCCTGGTGGAATCTAAACTGATCAGTGCAAGGTCCATGAGACCCCCGGGCCCCTTGCAAGAGGAAAAGGGCAGGGTGAGAATGCCATCATCTTCGTTCAAGGCGGGAGGGCATGTATGGTGCAAAGCAGAGTCAGGTAATCACTGAATAAACTGAAGGGACGGGAGGGTCGGCAACAGCTCCTGCGATTCTGGAGAGAGGCAAGAACCAGGAGAGAGAGGAAGGCTACCAAACGGGACACCTGGACGCGAAATGGCACAGCTGGCCCGGGACACGCATGCAAGAAAAACATCCGGCCTGTGCGTATTCAGACGGAGGAGCT